TTAATTATCTCGCAATAATAAGAGATAATTTGCGAGATAATTAACATCAATCGCCTGATGATCGTACGCTGTACGTGAAACACTGTGTAGCGATGAAATAAAATTTTAAGATTGAAATTTGTTGTTTATGTCTCTTTTTATATATATATATATATATATATATATATATATATATATATATATATATATATATATATATATATATATATATATATATATATATATATATATATATATAATATATATATATATATATATATGTAACAAACAGAACGGCTACGTTTGAAGAAGTTTATTAAAAAAAGTATATTAAATACAAAAACTAAATTTTCGGCTGCATGCCACAGGCTGGTTTCACTAACAGATGGTTTCAGATGGTTTTTACTTGATACTAATATTTCGTGACACTGCTTAAGGTGTTAATTGATCTGTAATTAAATAAGCATCCTTTACCATCTGTACACAGGCTGATCCGTACATATTTAAAAAATTCGTTAGAAGCTAGAGGTCAAACATAGGCAGCTATTTTATCTGAAGAGTGCCACGTTATTTACGTGGTACGAAACTGTATAGTAATAAATATGCCAAACAAATGTTTGAGTAGAGTATATAGTGTATAAAGTGTCTATATATATACAATATACGTATCAAATTTATCAGCATATTATATAGTCAAAAGTGTATATAGTGTATATACAGTAGTGTGTGTTTGAGTGAATGTCAAAGAGTATATAGTGTATATTTTGAAAATAGTCACTAGTCAAAAGTGTATATATATATATAGTGACAATATGTGTCAATGTATTGAAGTGGGATTTTTAAGAACGAGGAAACATATTTGCCTTTATGACTTTAGTTATGTAGGCTATCATGCATATGACTATATGAATGTGTCACTGAATCAGTGAATGTATAAAGCGGGATATTTTTAAGAACAAGCTAGGAAACTGAGGAAACATATATCCGGCCTTGATGACTTATGTATCATATGACTATGTGTCACTGATTGAGTGATTGTATATAAAGCGGATTCTTTTAAGAACGAGGGATGGATTGTGATTACGGTCAAGATCAAAGATATATATTTGTGACCGAAACAAGGATTTATTCATATTTCAATAATGACGTCACAACGATTAAGTTAGTGTTGAGCTTATTGTCAGTTACGTATATAGGTTATTTTGAGGCAACGAGGGGATATGTGATTTATTCACCGAGGCGCGTAGCGCCGAGGTGAATAAACACATATCCCCGAGGTGCCTCAAAATAACGTACTTATTTTTCACATATTGCGAGGTTGCGTTAATGAGTCAGAATAGAAATAATTCTTAATGCCATATTGCTTTCGTTATGTTGTTTTTTCTCATTTTTTGTGCTGCAAGCCTGCAAAGACATTGCAGGTGAATATTAGAGGGGATCATTAAACGGAAATTGATTAGACGGGAATATTGAATATATTCCCCGATAAGAACAAAGGAAACCGAGAAGGGTGAAAAATAAGATGGGTTAGGAGCTCACGAGATTGTATTTAAACTGGGGCGCGTTGTTAATTTAGAAAGACGAGCCCGTTTTTTATATATTGTCAAATTAAGGAACAAGTCAGCATTTATACTACTGATAAGTATACTAGTTACTATACTATTTAAATCATGTTATCGATGGCATTTTGGCTTAATCATTGCACCCTGAGCCTGCGATGAGCTAACGCAAACTCGATTTCTCGAGTACGAAAAAAACAGAAAAAGAGGGATTTAAGACACTTGGCCTACAGGCCAGTGTAATAAACAAACTATCAATTGATAACATGTTTATTGAAGATATCAAGATCACGTTTGTTGCATCAACGACCATTAGTTTTCTTCGCTTATCCTACTGATGCTCATGTGCATGGAATGTTGTTAAACATTTATCTCATGTCATCAAGGTGGCGTATTGTTTGCCAAAACCGAGTCATAGAAGTATTTCTTGTACACAGACATTTATTTGTCTGTCACTTGTCAAGTTTTCCTTCAATTTTCCTTTTCCAAAAGCTGGCATGACTAGCTTTGGAACAAGGCTCGTGTATGGCGATGTTCCCTAACAACCATTACTCATTAGGAGTCGCCGAGGGCCCGAGATGAAAAGCCAAGGCTAACCATTGGTGTGGGCTCTAAAGTGGAGATATATTTATCAACGTTTAACAATGAAATAGAATGTCACCTTAATTAAAGGGAAATGGCAATATAAATTTTTATTTTCTCATTTGAAAGAACTTTTGAAACTATGTATTGACTTCTTTTACCAATTTTTCATATCTTGCTTAGTTCTTGAAATATTTTCACTTCAAGTAATGAGATATCCGCCATCTTGGATAGATTTTTGATCTCATTAACGGATATAAAATTATTCGTTGCTGACCAAATATTGATGTTTTAAAGGAAGGGCAGACAGAGTATAGTTTTGAGTGCAAAATGATTAGTGTTTGTCTAGATAAAAATATTTTGTGTCTGCGTGACCCCTGTTGTGACGTGACATGCATATCTACCTGCCTCCTCCGCAGGCTCCTCTATACAGTATAGACAAATTTAAATATCAGTAATATATAGATCAGCGCGTGCACTGCAAGCCCGATAAAGACGCACGCCTTTAGGCGCACGCCCGCAACTAAGGACGAGCAATTATTTTATAGCAAGCGACTGGGGACGAGGCAGCATATCTACAAAAATAAAGATGGCGGACATTTCATTCGTTTCGATCAAATTATCAAAATATCAAAAGTAAGCAACATATGAAAAAACGGTAAAAGAGTATTATATATAGTCTTAAAAGTTCTTTCAAATGAGAAAATGAAAAAATATATTGCCATTTCTCTTTAATTTCTACGATAAGTTACATATTATAGAGTACGTACATATAAGAAAGCGCATAAATTCTTTATCGTGATTTAGCATATTTTTAAAAAATTCTAAAAAAAAACCCGGAGGTCATTCCTTTTAAAAATCCTTCCAATTTACATATTGTCGGTAGCTACTTGTTATAAAATCTGACGTAAAATTTCTCTGTGAACTTTTAATACTGGGAGACAAGTAGGCCTATCTGTTTTTGGAAATTCAACGTTGGTTGATAGCAAAAGATAAATGTGATAATATAAACCCAGAAATATTGTTTTATAAGCCTCAAACTATCAGCATGTCATGTTGTTTGACGGAAGAACAATCTACTGGACCTTGTTTACAATTTAAAGTGGCAATCAAACCAGGCACCCGTTCAACTCACTCAAATATTAATAACACCTTCAATTGTAATCCTAAGACTAAACGCTATCAATTCATCGATGCTGTAGATAATTAAAATGAAATGTAGCGGCAACCTAATAATCCTAAGCTTCGCTCTTCATCTCGTATCGTCTTTAGTTCAAACCGAGGAAGAACTGAAATCTAACAAAAGAACATTCAATGGCCATGAAAAGGACCTGTTGTCGGATCATATTTTGACGTTGTCTAGCCAAGATACCGAGAGTACAGAAGCTTCAACGAAAAGGTCTTCAACGGCAGATGCAAGACATTATAATGCAGTGAATATACCGGTTCCGTTTCATAGAGTACATTATAGACCAATCCATGTCGCAAGACCCGTAGCTTACAGCAAGAAACCTGATGTGTATATAAACCACGTGCATGTACATAATGGAGGTCAGGATTGTCAGTTTTTTTTAGTTCATAACTAAATTAAAGCCCGACCCTGCTCAAACAAGGATGAGAATTGGTCATGAGAGTTGGCGGTCAAATGCGAGCGACAGTTGGAACTCTCATCAGTTCTTGTCATCTCTCATTAGCTTTATACTACACATATTGGTCTTTCATTCCTCAACGGTTCATCACATAGCTTCAGTATATGAGGATCATCTCTTATTCATCCAGTGTTACTACAGGAGGAAACCTAAACTAAACTAACTTTATTTATACTGGATAGCTCTATCAGTTCTAGACTTTTCTTCATAGAGGTTCAGTAAGGATCATGTCTTATTGATCCAGTGTTACTAGAGGGGGAAACTTAAACCAACTTTATTTATACTGGATAGCTCTATATCAGTTCTAAACTGTTCTCCCTATAGAGGTTCAGTAAGGATGATCTCTTATTGATTCTGTTCTTCCTAGAGGTCAAGTAAGGATCATCTCTTATTGATCCAGTGTTACTACAGGAGGAAACTTAAACTAAACAAACTTTATTTATACTGGAGAGCTCTATCAGTTCTAATCTGTTCTTCCTAGAGGTCCATTAAGGATCATCTCTTATTGATCCAGTGTTACTACGGGAGGAAACTTAAACTAAACAAACTTTATTTATACTGGAGAGCTCTATCAGTTCTAATCTGTTCTTCCTAGAGGTCCAGTAAGAGTCATCTCTTATTGATCCAGTGTTACTGCAGGAGGAAACTTAACCTATAAAACAAACTTTATTTATACTGGAGAGCTCTATCAGTTCTAATCTGTTCTTCCTAGAGGTCCAGTAAGAGTCATCTCTTATTGATCCAGTGTTACTGCAGGAGGAAACTTAACCTATAAAACAAACTTTATTTATACTGGAGAGCTCTATCAGTTCTAATCTGTTCTTCCTAGAGGTCCAGTAAGAGTCATCTCTTATTGATCCAGTGTTACTGCAGGAGGAAACTTAACCTATAAAACAAACTTTATTTATACTGGAGAGCTCTATCAGTTCTAATCTGTTCTTCCTAGAGGTCCAGTAAGAGTCATCTCTTATTGATCCAGTGTTACTGCAGGAGGAAACTTAACCTATAAAACAAACTTTATTTATACTGGAGAGCTCTATCAGTTCTAATCTGTTCTTCCTAGAGGTCCAGTAAGAGTCATCTCTTATTGATCCAGTGTTACTGCAGGAGGAAACTTAACCTATAAAACAAACTTTATTTATACTGGAGAGCTCTATCAGTTCTAATCTGTTCTTCCTAGAGGTCCAGTAAGAGTCATCTCTTATTGATCCAGTGTTACTGCAGGAGGAAACTTAACCTATAAAACAAACTTTATTTATACTGGAGAGCTCTATCAGTTCTAATCTGTTCTTCCTAGAGGTCAAGTAAGGATCATCTCTTATTGATCCAGTGTTACTACAGGAGGAAACCTAAATTAAGCTAACTTTATTTATACTGGATAGCTCTATCAGTTCTAAACTCTTCTTCCTAGAGGTCCAGTAAGGATCATCTCTTATCGATCCAGTGTTACTACAGGAGGAAACCTAAACTAAACTAACTAACTTTATTTATACTGGATAGCTCTATCAGTTCCAAACTCTTCTTCCTAGAGGTCCAGTAAGGATCATCTCTTATCGATCCAGTGTTACTACAGGAGGAAACCTAAACTAAACTAACTAACTTTATTTATACTGGATAGCTCTATCAGTTCTAAACTGTTCTCCCTAGATGTCAAGTAAGGATCATCTCTTATTGATCCAGTGTTACTACATCTCTTATTGATCCAGTGTTACTACATCTCTTATTGATCCAGTGATCCACTGTTATTACAAGAGGAAACCTAAGCTAATTAAAGTAATTTTGTTGATGCTGGACAGCTCTATCAGTTCCAAACAGCTTTCTTCGCATTTTGGCGTTGAATTAATTTTGAAATAAATCCTGTTTGCCCGCCGTTAGAAATGTTATCGTGGTGACAAACATTTGCTTAAAAGGAAGGATAAAATGTTTCCCAACAATTCCACATATTTTCTTCCAAAATGTATGTTTGGTGCGAGTCAATCCTTTCTTGTTTGCCGTCCTTTTGGAAATATGGTTCAGAACAAATATTTTCACAAGGCTTAACTCCCATTACCATTTATAACTCTACTCACAAAGTGAAATTGTTAGGCGCACTATACTGTACAACGAAATTCTTGAGTCGCTAACTGACTGTCAATTTACACATATTCTTATTTCTTATGTAGTCAATCCATGTCAACATAGTGGAATTATTTTACATACGCCTGGGGGATTTGAATGTCTGTGTAAGAAACAGTACAAAGGAAAACATTGTGAAGGTATTTCCTAGCAAATTTATCATGAGGTACGACGAGAATGCTACGATTACGAATAAGGACAGCAACAAGAAAGACAACTATAAAGCTTCAACCACAACAGCAGCTGACAACAAGGCCGGATTTTGGTGGAAATAGTGGGGGAGATGGAAAAAGAATTGGGGGAGGTGCAGCGGTCTAGCTCACGACCCCCATGGAAAGTTAGGGCTTACTGTAGAACGTGGCAAAGTCAACGATTTGACGTATGCATGTAGTGTACATATGTATCAGTGTATTAATGAATTATGACTGTACAACGCATCTAATTTTGCCTTTCATTACAATTACTACAAAGTTTTCTTTCAAAACATTGCATCAAAAGGGTACTTGACACAGAGTTGAATTGCTATCACTGTTTCAATTTTACAGGGAAAAAATTTACGAAGTTTAGACTCTAAAGCAACCAAAAATGTCAAATTTTGACTTAAAGTTTGATCTATTAATAAAACTATCGTAAGGGAAGGTGCATGACTTTTCAGGGGAGGTGCAAAACGATCTCAGAGGAGGTGCGCACCTCCCCACAACTCCCCTCAAAATCCAGCCATGACTGGCAACAGTCAACAACAACAACAACAATGTGACAACAACAACAGTTGCTCCTGTATCGGAAGAAGAATATGTTGCAAATCATTTTCAATAAGTGTGTTTTTAAACTTTATTTTAGAGAAGAACTATTGCTACCCCAACCCATGTGTTAACAAAGGGAACTGCGTTGAGAGACAACATAGTTTTGCTTGCAAGTGTTTGAAAGGTTTTAAAGGAGCCACTTGCTCAGGTATGAACTACAGAACGGCATATATTAAGGTAGTTGAAAAGCTAGTAACAAACTTATTTTTTTCAAACGATAATCCTCAACGGTGACAAGTCCAAACTATGGGACTTAGAACCATCAAACAATTAAAAAATGATAAAAGTTTAAAACAATATAGAATTCAAACCTTTGCTCATAATATTCCGGTGTTAAACCTGGTTTACATTATCAAAGTTTCTGTGTTCACAGTGGGAACAGTGTTAAACTATTAGTCAGTTCCCTCAAACATTTCTTACAAATCCTTCAGAACTTAGAATTTACTGATGCAAAATCCTACTGTGATCACAGAAACTGCAACCAGGCTTAAACCAGGTTTTATTTACATTTTTCTAAAGATAAAGATTTCTATGTTCTCAATGTGTGACAGTATAAATTGTAAATCAAAGGTTTCATTAAGAAGGTTTTTTGTGGCTATTCTTTGACAGTACAATTATGTAGACTGCCAACAATATTAATGTAAAAGTTTTTTCTCACCAGAGAAAGACCCCTGTGCTCAGAATGCTTGTAAACATGGTGGGACATGTGTGGATCTTGGTGGATCCAAAGTACAATGTAGTTGTCCTGTGGGATTTAAGGGAAAAACGTGCGAAGGTAAACTTAAGTTATCGTTTAGCATTTCTACCATACTAGTTGTAATTCATGTATACTGATCCTTATATATTGGACGGGTATAGCCATGTTTAAATTATGGTTCTTTATATTTTTCATACTACTAATCCTCTTAATGAACCATACACCATTGCATATCATGATAACATATAATTCCACACTGTATAATGCCATACTACCATGGCATACCATACCATACCATACCATACCATACCATACCATACCAAACCAAACCAAACCAAACCAAACCAAACCAAACCAAACCAAACCAAACCATCCCATCCCATAGTACCATACCAAACCATACCATACCATACCATACCATTCCATACCATACCAAACCAAACCATACCATACCAAACCATACCGTACCATACCATACCATATACGATCTCATAAATGTGGCCATATATTAACGTGAACGAGTCTTTGTGCACCGCTCATCCATGTACATTGCTAAATATCATTGACGCTAACATAATACTTTTTATTAATAATTCTCAATCTCTAAACGAAATGCACGTAATTATGAAATATTTCTAGGGAATAAAAGTTGTTTTTTCTTTTATTAGAGATCGAACACTGTGACCCTAGCCCCTGCCTTCATGGTGGCACGTGCAAAGAAAAAGACGGAAAGTTTGTTTGTTCTTGTGTTCAAGACTGGAAAGGATCCATTTGTGAAAGTGAGTTCGAAGTTACCAACATTTAACTTAAATACAACCAAACTGTTCTCCTTGGAGGTCCAGTAAAGGCATTCCCGTATTTGTTCAGACATTGTTTGTTTGTTGTTTGTTTAATAAATATTTATACAGGAACATCTGATTTAGCATACAGCTCGTTTAAGCGGAGTCCTGTCTGTCTAAAAATGTACCTTAAACCTCAGAAACCTTGTAAAGTTCAGTTAAAACTAAAGCTAACTTTGTTTATACTGGATAGCTTTATCAGTTCTAAACTGTTCATCTATATATTGCGAGAACCGAGCACCGGTTGAAGAGGTTCAAGGTACATTTTCTACGCCACAGACTCTCGCAAATCATTTTTCATGTTGTTCTTCAGTTCCACGCCGTTGTCTTGTGAACCCATGTCGAAATGGTGGTCAGTGTATAGAAGGTCAGGCAGCAACAGTGTGCAAATGTAAACAAGGTTTCTATGGTCCTTTTTGTCAAGGTAAATCTAACTTGCGATGGTAGTGGTGAGCATAAAGATTTTGATGGTGATGATGATATTGCTGATGGTAGTGATAATGTTGGTGATGTTAATGTATTTTGTTCAACAAAGTCAAATTTTCTTGGCTTTTTCTAGTTACACACCAAATTCCCTTTGAATGAATTGCTGGTGTTTATGTCATTTTTTTCAACTAGGCCTCAAGGAATGAAAAAAATGTCGCAGAAATTTCAGAAATTTAGGTTGCAGTAATTTCAAAATCGGGCTGCAAGAGTAATTTCTAGTGCGACTTACAATGTTCGGTCGGTTGATTTACTTGAAAGACTGGGTTGGAAACATCTAGAACTAAGGCGAAATTACCTAAAATCTGTTTTTATGTATAAAATTCTGAATAACCACATCGCACCAAATCTAAGAACATCCTTTCGATTGAATAATTAATGTGATAATACCTATGATCTTAGAAATAGAGAAACTGATTTGTCTCTTCCTAAACCGAATACCGATTCTGGTAAAAGATGCTTCAAATATAACGGAGCGGTAGTATGGAATAAGTTTACCGTATGAAGTAAAAGTAGCGGAATCTTTAAGTTCTTTTCAAAGAACTATTAATCAGGCAAACACTTAAAATTGGCTCGTCCTATTGCCTACTGTATATGTAATTCTTCTTTCTTTGTTTTTGTATTTTTAATGTTTATCTGTACAGTATATTCTCTCCAAATCACGCCCCTCATGGAAATCAGCTCCGAGTTGTTGAGGCCAGCGTGTTTAAATAATTTTTTGTATGTGTGTATGTATGTGTATGATTTCTGACGTATTCGTGTGAATTTATTTCACTTGCAGACAACGTATGTCAGCCGAATCCTTGTTTCAACAAAGGAAAATGTTCAGTGGCAATCAAATCTGACAAATCCTGGACGTACAAATGTCAATGTCTGCCCACTTTCAAAGGGAAAAGATGCCAGAGTAAGTCCAAGATGAATTTTGTGGCAGTAGACACTATATCTAGATTTCCCTGAAACTAAATCTTCTATTCATGTGTATATAAACCAACCCACAGTTATTTTAATAGATGGTTTGGAGACTCGATGAAAGTACAATATAACTCATTAACTATGTTATTGTCCGGCTTTATGCAAGAATTTGGTCCTATCTCGTCACGTGTGTATTGTATTTTCGCTCAAATAACCAATAACAAGTTTGTGGTTGAGTTATCCATCCGTAACTTGAACAAATGCTCAATTTAAACATTGCTATTGGTTGTGCGGGAAAAAATACAATACACACGTGACGAGATAGGACCAAATTCTTGCATAAACCGAAACCAACATAGTTAATCAGTTATATTGTACTTTCATCGAGTCTCCAAACCATGTATTCTATTAACTGTGACCAACCACATTGATATGATTTTTATATGTGTAATATTTATTTTATTTTAATTGATATTTATTAAAAAAAAACCTTACCTTGAATTCTGATCAACTTCTTCACTGTCAAAATTTTTGGATACGATGTTATTAGATTAATTGTAAATTAGTCCTTTGTTTATTGCTCCAAAAATGTATCTAATGACATCATATTCATCGAATCTTTGGCAGTGAAATATTTTATGAGAATTTAAGGTAAGGTATTTTACTATAAAGATGGATTCTTTTTAGAATGACCCAAACATTGCCATTTGCCTTAACTTTTGTTCTGAATAACAATGAGATGGCCTCTTAATACAAGTCTTTGACTTCGTGAGGTCTTCTCGCCACTCCCTATCCTTTCAATTTAACATACATAAATATAAATATAAATATAATTAAATTTTATTACAATAATCAATATAAATTAACTGAATGAAGTGGTAAATAAATTGAATTAAAATATATATATATATATATATATATATATATATATATATATATATATATATATATATATATATATATATATATATATATATATATATATATATTGAGCGCTCTGGCATGGTTTTGATGTCCCACAATCGTGAGGCATCAAAGGTAACTATAAATAAGAGTTACTTTCATCCTGCTCATCAGCACTACACTGATGAGGCCCATTAGGCCGAAACGGTACCGTCTGTAGTTGGATATCGCTCTATGGCCTTTAGGTCATATTGAGCGCTCTACAGGATGAGCCATGCCGCTTACGCATTGCGCACGCTCACTGCTTGCAGTTTGAGCGCTCTGGCATGGTTTTGATGTCCCACAACCGTGAGGCATCAAAGGTAACTATAAATAAGAGTTACTTTCATCTTGCTCATCAGCACTACACTGATGAGGCCCATTAGGCCGAAACGGTACCGTCTGTAGTTAGATATCGCTTTATGGCCTTTAGGTCATATTGAGCGCTCTACAGGATGAGCCATGCCGCTTACGCATTGCGCACGCTCACTGCTTGCAGTTTGAGCGCTCTGGCATGGTTTTGATATCCCACAATCGTGAGGCATCAAAGGTAACTGTAAATAGCAGTTATTTTCATCCTGCTCATCAGCACTACACTGATGAGGCCCATAAGGCCGAAACGGTACCGTCTGTAGTTAGATATCGCTCTATGGCCTTTAGGTCATATTGAGTGCTCTACAGGATGAGCCATGCCGCTTACGCACGCTCACTGCTTGCAGTTTGAGCGCTCTGGCATGGTTTTGATGTCCCACAATCGTGAGGCATCAAAGGTAACTATAAATAAGAGTTACTTTCATCCTGCTCATCAGCACTACACTGATGAGGCCCATTAGGCCGAAACGATACCGTCTGTAGTTATATATATATATATATATATATATATATATATATATATATATATATATATATATATATATATATATATATATATATATATATATATATATATATATATATATATATATATATATATACAGTATATGCCAAAAATCATATTCTGGGTTAGTGACACTTTTGTAAATTTTGTGTTCTCTTCGTTCCAGTTCGAAATCGCTGTGCATTAAAATTATGCAAGAATGGTGTGTGTATTGACGATTTCAGTGATTATCACGTGGATCTGCCTCTCAATGGTTATCTGTGCATTTGCAAGGACGGATTTCAAGGAGAAAACTGCGACCGTAAGTTGAAAGATTTTGATGGCAAAAATTTAAGCCATATTTCAAATTCGATGTGCTGTTTAGACGTACGAGTAAAGCCATATCTTCCTTACGTACTAGGTAAAGTGTGTGACAACTGCCACAAGGATGCTGTGTGTTTGTACGGGCAATGTATCTGTAAAAATGGTTTCGTAGGAAATGGTAAAACGTGTAAAAGTAAGTATGCTTTACATATAACAATATTCTTTTATCTAAATTGACAGCTTATGGAATAAAGGGTACAGCACACAAATGGTTTCAGTCATATTTAAGGAAGAGGGCAGCAAATATGTAAAGTTAACAAAAAAATGTCGGATATAAGAACAATTACCTGCGGAGTTCCTCAAGGGACAAATCTAGGCCCGTTGCTATTTATCCTTTATATAAATGATCTGCCAAATTGCCTTGTAACAACAAGCGCCACAATGTTTGCGGATGATACAAGCCTATCATGTAACGGACTATCATCCGCAGATATAGAGAGTAAACTGAATCACGATTTAGAAATAATTCACACATGGTTAACCGCAAACAAGCTGACTTTAAACCGTAAAAAAACTGAATACATGATTATTGGCTCACGACAAAAATTAAATTCTATTGGCACAAATACTACAAACATATCAATCGCAGGCGAGCAAATAAGACGAGTTGAAAGCACAAAATCCTTAGGCATAATTATAGATGAACAATTAAAATGGGAAGAACATAACAGTAAACAATATAAAACAATCTCAGCACGTATCGGAATGTTAAGAAGAGCTAGAGATTTTGTTACACAAGATGTTTTAATTACAATGTATAATTCACTTGTATTTCCTCACTTTACCTACTGCTCAACTGTGTGACATGGCTTTCTCGCTGATCACATTAATAAATTATATAAGTTACAGAAAAGGGCTGCTCGTGTAATAAAGGATCCAGTTACGACATACGATCAACTAACATTTTTGAAACCTTAAACTGGAGACCTATAAAAGACAACTTAGACGAGCGCGACCTTGTAATGATATTTAAGGCCCTTAAAGGTCTAATGCCCGACTACCTAATGCAGACAATTAACTTGAACGAAAACGGCAACTATCAATTACGTAGCAACAATAGAAATATTTACCTACCTAAGCCAAAGACAAATTTTCTAAAAAATAGCTTTCCCTATCGAGGAGCTATGAGTTGGAATAACCTACCTAATCATATTATTGATCAAGCATTAATAGAAGATA